AACACTTTAGAGAAGTTTCGAGAACTCCAAAGCTCAAAAAAAAACTTTAAGAAAGAACAGAGATATTACAGAGCAGTTAAATTACATAAATTTAAAAAAAAAGTTTCGAGAAATTCAGTGAATTCTTAAAACTTTAGAGAAGATTCATGATCGTTAGGAAAATTGTGGAAACTTTAGAAAGTCCAAAAAAGTTAAGAGAACTTGAAAACATTGATGAAAAGTATTGCGAGCATCAAGCTAGTTTCTCAAACTACAAAAGACTACAAGCCAGTTTCATAAACTTCAGGAATATTTTGGGAACGTTCAAGCTGTTCTGGAAACCTCAGAATAATCCAGTACATATTCAACGGAGATTTCTCATGAAAAATCGTTTGAAGTTCTCCAAATCTTACACTCGTATTCTTTCCAAACTCTCATGGAACTATTTCAGAAATTAACTTGGAACGCTTCTCTGAATTCTCTAAAAAAAATCTCATAAGAATAAAGTTAGAATACTTCTCGCAATTCCATTGAAATATTCTTCAAAATTGTCAAATTCTTCATTTTTCATTATTCATATTTTCATATTCTTCAAAATCGTTGAAACAATCCTCTGAATTCAATTTTCTTTAATTTTCCCTAGGAATTGCTTTGAAATTCTCCTCAGTAAGAAATCTTATGGAACGATCTTCAGATTTTTTATTGAATTTATTTCAGATTTCCATTTTAATCTCAACTGCTTCCTTCCACATTGAAAGTCTCCTAGATTTCTCCCCTTAATTTGTTTGGCAATCTATTCTGGAATTATTTTCTGAATTTCTTTGAAGATCTTGTAGAGTTATTCTCAGATTTAATTGTAATCCTTCTTTAAGCATCCCCTTCACCTGCAAACTATTCACCTAAAAAATACGAGGACTTATGCTCCGGTTTTGTTGTCTTTCACAAACTTCATGAAATTATCATCAGAATGCCCTTGGAATTTTCCTTTAAAGTTCAGAAGAGGAGAAATTCCTATGAATTATCATTAAAATTTACATTGAATTCAATTTCTTGTTTTCTTGAAATTATATTCAAAACTATCTCAGGCTTCACATGAAATCTAAAATTCTTCAGAACTACCATGAAAGCAGATTGCACTTGATATTTTTCTCATAGATTTTTTCCCAGTACTCCCGTGGAACAAGGCCCTTATTGTTTTCCGTCGATCTTGTTTTCCGTGCTGAGCACCAATGCTACCGACGCCAGGGAGGCAGCTCCCACACCTACCTATCGACCTATCAACTCATGAACCGGGGACCAATGGCTTTACTTCCGTGATCAGACTGGGATTGAACCCAGGCCTGCTGGGGTGAGAGATAATCACACTTACCACTACACCACCGGCGCTGCTGACGAGGCCCTTATAAATTAGAATAAAATTCAATGAGGCTTAAAACTGTGCAAGGAATTTGACTCAGTTCAGAATTTATGAAAATTGTTGGAAATATGCATATTCTTGAACCATAAAGGAGCTATGAATGAAAATATCCAGGAATATTAAATGTTGGCATTTTAAAATGCATTTGGAATATCCTTAGTAAGAAAATTAAAAACTTTCCTGAGTAATGCTAAGATTCCCTGAGACTTCCAGGTATTTTCAGGGGAAATAAAATTCCTTGAGAATTTCCGGTTTTTCCGGTTTAGTCATAAACTTTCTATTGAAACGTTCGCTTTAAAGGTTCCTATCGTACATATTCAAGTATTATGAGATTTTAATTGAATTAGTCTAAAGCATCAAACATTTATTTGGTATGCCATCAGAACGACTAATTTTCTTCCATTAGGTAACTTTTTAGTATTTTTTTACAACTATAAGTAACTATTTGCTCACTTATTTCTTGAACATGGTCACTAAAATCACTATTTTTGACAGCATTGATCGCTACCAGCCCTGATATTTTTTTTATGATTTTCATGTTTATGATTATTTGAAAGCTAATCAAAACTGATAGCTTTCCTGAAATTGACAAGATTTAGGAAAGGTCTTCAACAAGATCAAACAAATATCTTCACATGACATGCCACGTTTTAACGACATGAGGGGGAGTGTGGAAGTGTTTTTAAATTAATGACAATATTCTTAACCATGTATCCATGGTAGGGAAAAGCGAATAACCCCTTCTCTCTAATTCCAAACAAATTTGAAATTGACAGGATTGAGAAAACTTCACAAGTCCATAAGATAGTAGCAAATTAACCAAGTTCTATATTTTATTTGTATAACTTAGATAACGAACACTTTTCAAAGTATCTGATGTTTCAAATGTTGCTGATTTATTACACTAAAAATAATCCCGCAGATTGTTTTGTTTCGCACAGGCCTAATGGGCCAGTGATTTACGTCGGTAGAACTATTCCACAGCCGCAGACAGTATATAAGCAACGCGCACTCTTTTGCCTGTGGATTTGAGGACATACCTCAAATCCCCTCATCCACCAAAGTATCAGTTAGGTAAAGGAGTGCGCATTTGACTTATATTATCGCATTAATGGCCCTTAGCTCAATTTCAACCTCTGTTCAATTTTCACACTGCCGTACTATTATTTAGTATATCGTTTTCTCTCAACTCTTTTTATGGTTCTTTTTATTAGGGATGTTCTTTCTTTATTAAATCTCGTAGGTTCACGCCTGATGGTTATGTGGGACACATCATACCCCACTTGGAGTAACCAATAGTAATGATAAAAATAACTACTATTTTTCCAGTAAGTATGTTAGCGCTGATGGTAGAAGGGTGACACATTTTGCCCGGCATAGGCAATTTACCCCCATTTCCCTTAATATTGTACAATGTTTGAGAAAAAACGTTCTTGGTTTGCTCTGTTCATGCTACCATTTGGTTCGTTCTTCTTATTTTTCTTTTTCTTCTTCTTCTTCTTCTTCTTCTTCTTCTTCTTCTTCTTTGACATTATAAGATCACTATTGTGACTTTACGCCAGCTCTCAACTTAGTGTTCTTTGAGCACTTTCATACTTGTTAATTAAGAGCTTCCAATAGTATATACTGTGTGGCAAGCAGGGCTCTACATTTTCGAAGCTCTAAAATGAACTCGAGTTTTGTTTCGCTCAAGTGAATTCTAGGGAGAAGTATTAGGAAATGCTAAGAAATGTTGAATGAAGACTGCAGAGGACTATATTGCCTATAAGTAGCCTATAAGAAATCTAAAAAAAAAAAATTAATGAAGCACTCTAGAGTCCAAACATGATTCAAGTTAAGCGTTAATCATGCATTTGATGGTTTTCAAAAAAATATTTTAAATTTGCTAAATTCTGATCTCTGTGGATGAAATTCTGGTAGAAATCGAAGCAAATTAAAAACTATCCTTCGACGGCGTAGGTCATTGAGATTTTCTGTAGCGAAATATCTCTGTCAAAGCCGTAGGTTCTGGTCCATGTGGTGTGGCTTTGATATCTAGGGAACAGGTGTGGAGTCGCCTGCTTGGCTATGGTGATTGGTACTCGCATGCAGAACAGAGATCGACCAAACATTAAAACGAAAAAAAAAAATCCTTTCTATCAGGCAGTCACAGTAAAACTGACTGAGACAGTGGTAGCTGAGAAAGGCTCCATTGTGTTAGCTTATCTTGATGTTTATAAAAACACTCGCATAAAATTGTAATTATCTCCCTTCGGTTCGATAATAACTTGTCAGCAAATGACTTTTCACTCCCCGCAACGATAACCACCATCATTAGACCATATGTGCCATTTCACATGGCCATCCTGAACAGTTAGGTCTGCACTTGAGTGCAAAGATGCCTCGGATTGCACAGAATGTTCAAAGTGTACGCATGGTACATACAAAAGAGAGCACAAACTGCTTCCGGTAAACCCCGATTGCTGTCACCCACTCCCTCCTGGGGGGTGTTGTTTTTATCCACTTCGAGAGGAAGAAATTTACTCTTTCCCACCCACCTATATTGATGATTGTACCACCGTTTACAGCTACGACCGGTCATTCATATGTGCTGTACCGGTGTATGTGTTCATTATCAGCAATTAGAGACGATTTCAACTTTTCCAACCTTTTGTTTTGCACTTTACACTGAAGCGTAGTAAGCTGCTTGGGTTCCTTCCGGTGCGGTGGAAGGAAACTAGTTACACAGCTGGTACCGAATGTGAAACATTGTCATTACGTTGCACAAAAGCTCATTAGGTAATTACTGAAGACGTGATAGTGTCAACGTTGCCAACGATTGCTTGACTTGTTGTGCAGCTTTGTAGCATTTGTTTCAAAAACAAGCAAAATTGGTAAGCTGTGATGCCTAAGCCTCTGTCGAACGTATGTTCTAAATTCTGAGCAATTTTGCAATTTTGCTCAGCTGAAAAATAACAATAAATTTTGGAATCATTCTGTTTTTATTGAAGAACACAATAAAGAAAGTGATAAGCCATTTCTATTATCCATTCAGAGATCCATTCGGTCTTCCTTCTATTTAATCAAAAATGTTAGCCTTCGCGGGTGCTTCCGTTCTGGGCTGAAATCAATGTTAGATGCAAGTTTTTCTAGATGTGTACTTTCTGGGACCTCCGTACTTCTGCGACGCGACGAATAAACATGCCTGTTCGGACCATATACATGGTCACAACTATTTGACATAATCCACTTATGGTAAACGCTCCTATAGTTGCTGTACGTTAGAAGCGTTAGGTTCCTATAGTTGTGTATTGAGTCTCCATACACAACTATAGGAACCTAACGCTTCTAACGTACCGCTACTATAGAAGCGTTTACCCTACTTCTACGCCAAGTGATCAAAGCTTCAAATTTAATATAGTGGCCCAAGCATTAAAGATTGTGATAAAGTGAATATCGAAATACAAGAATAACACTATTTTGATTGCGCACAATTAGGCCTTTAAGCTCATTTATTGAAACGAATCATTCAAACTAAATGCCATCGCTATCCAGATAAATGCAATCCATTTGGCTTTTACCAATTGCCGTCGTTACTAATCCTTCTCTTTTATTCTCATGCCAGGTATCAATCAAGTCATAACCTACGCACTGCAGACAGATTCCAAGAACACCTCCGAGTATTTCCACATGGATCCAACAGATGGTGCAATCTACCTGAAGAAATCATTGGATCATGAAACGCTGAGCCATCACCATTTCACGGTTATAGCAAGTGACAAAGGAGTCCCCAGTCTAAGTTCTACGGCCCACGTGTGGGTTTCAGTCATGGACATGAACGACAATCCGCCGAAATTTGAACAACCGTCCTATACTTGCGTTCTATCCGAACACGCCACTCGAGGCCAATTCGTAACGGTGGTGTCTGCCTCCGACCCGGACTACATTGACCACGACCGTTTAACATACACCATATCGCAAGGGAACGAGCTGCAAACCTACGACATCAACCCGGTCAGTGGGATTATCACTCTGGTCAACATGCAAAACTTTGCCGAAAAGCACGTCACCATCTTGAACGTTTCCGTAACGGATGGAGTGTATACCAGTTTCACCCGGGTTAAGATATCGATCCTTCCGGCAAACCTGCACAACCCCACCTTCGAGCACATGTTCTACGATGTCAAGGTGAACGAGAATCAACTAGCTGGCCGATTGGTGACAACGGTAAGTACTGAAAACCGGAATCACTTTCCGCTGACTAAAGCGGAAAAAGCAACACTTCCCATTAGACCAAAGTGCCAAGGAAAACCCCTTCAAGTAGGCATTCTTTGAAGTGTATTATTCTCATTATCATCCGTGGGGCTCTTCCTCTTTTGTTCGTGCTCTCTAATATATCCTGGAACACGGATCCAAACATGCACACATTCATTGTATCAAGGAGGGTGTGGTATGAGCATGAGTGGATCGTGCTGTATATCCTCATGGAAACCATCGCATCTTGCTTTCGGCTTGATTTTCATACACATGTGCTTTAATTTATGCTAAAAGCACATTTAAAATTAGTGCAGCAAAGTGAAGCCCGTAGAGGCGTACTGTGGATTAAAAATTTAGATGAGGGTAGTTTCGCTCTTTTGTTACCATGCCGTACAGAAAATTAAAAGTGGAAACAGCGCACAGGTTGGGTGGATGCATTTTCCTCGTTTTCATGCCATGGTGACAATAAACAGGCATGTGTGGGAAACATTCCATATAACAACAGTTGCTCAAGTGCAGTAACACAGTATATTAAATATTCTGCGCATTAAATTTCGGTAGAAGAATCCAAACACCAAAAAAAAAGAAAAAAATGTTTTTAAGGACCTATTATTATGTCTATAATCACATATGAGTCCCATATGGATAGGAAATCAAGCAAAAATGGGACTGATATGCGAGTATGGGTAGTATAAATGCTTTCAATTGGTCTCTTAGATACCTATTTATGCATATTCATTTATTAATTAAAAGCTTATGAATTTAAAATGCATTACCTGTATATGTTTCATACGGGAAATATACTGAGCACATGACTATTTCATGAATCAATATTTTACATTTACAAGATTAATTTTGGAAGCTGATGCATTGGGGAAAAAATGGTTAAATATCATAAAATGAGCATTCTTGTGATGGTTCCACCTCTTAGGGATATTCGGAGTAAGATGTACAGTTGATTATTTGATGGCTTAACTACTGAATAATATGTTTTTTTGTCACATCCACTCATAATTTACAATATTTAATGTCAGATGTTTAAATATAAACAAAAACATAAGGCTACTCCTCTAATGGCGAAGTGATGTAAATTTCGGTAGGTATGCAGTTCCTAAGGTTGTAAAGCACCAACACAGTGAAATGCTTACAACATTGTTTACTATTTCTAGATTATTTATTGAAATAAACGAATAAATTTTGTTTCATCGTTTGCAAATATAGGCGTATTCATAAATAGTGTACCATCGAGGCAAAAAGGTCAATGTCAATAAAACAAATTATAATGCCAGAATTTTTTTAATGTTATAGATGCCTTAAATATATATGTCCAAAAAAGACCACCGTCACCGCTAATGATCTTGTTCTTGAATGCTAATGTGATGTGATGAATTTCGGCACACAAAGACTGTTCGAATTCTCGAGAACGTGCAAATTCAATCTATGATCTAGAAGTTACGATCGATTCGAAGCTAAGGTTTAACGAACACATAAGCATCGTAACTGCTAAGCCATATACCGTAATGCACCAAAATTCGGACACTTTTATAAGTTAATTTTCAAAGCCTACCACGCTTAAAACAGCACGTAACAATTCACAGCAAATTGCATCACTGAAAAAACGCTGTAGAAAATTACCTAGTTGTCCGATCCTTTTCAAACTTTCAGACAATAAAATATAACCCATTAATAAGCTTTTGGCATATTTATTTCATTCAACTTCAAAACCATAACCGTACGCTCGCACTTTACGCTTGACTCCACTCATAAGGTTCCGTACAACTTCTGGTTGCAGCTTTTTCTGTACAGAAACCCACTTTTTCTTCATGTCTTTCTCAGATTTGACCTCCTTGGAATGCTTCGGTAGTGCCTGCTTCATAATAGCTCAGTATTTTTCGATGGGCCTTAGTTCCGGTGCGTTGGGGGGGGGGGGGAGGGGGTTCATGTCCATGGGTACGAAAGTGACCCCGTTGGCTTCGTACCACTCCAGGACAACATTTGAATAGTGGCACGAAGCTAGATCCGGCCAGAAGATCGTAGGGCCCTCGTGTTGCTTCAACAGAGGAAGCAGATGCTTCTGTAGAAAATCCTTGAGATAGATCTCCCCGTTTACAGTACCGGTAGTCACGAACGGCGCACTCCGTTTGCCACATGAGTAAATCGCTTGCCAAATCATTTATTTCTTGGGAAACTTAAAGTTTCTGAATATCAGTAGCCCCGGAAGCTGCCGGAAGTCCGCCTTGACGTAAGTCTCACCATCCATGATGAGACAATGAGGTTTCGTCAGCATCTGGGTGTACAATTTCCGGGTCCGTGTCTTTCCCACCGTATTTTTCCGTTCGTCACTATTTGGAGCCTTCTGCACTTTGTACGTATGCAGTCCCTCCCGGTCCTTGGCTCTCTGAACGAAAGACATGGACAGATTCAACTTTTTGGCCACATGACCGAATCATTGGGATTCCGCTTAAACGCTTTCACGACACACTTGTCATCCTGATCACTAATAAAACATCTATTCTGACCGCACTTCTCCTTCCGTTCGATGCTCAGAGTTTCGTAGTAACGTTTAAGATGTATTCAGACTTGAGCGAGGGTGAGAGTAGCGGAGCGGACTTCGGGTATTCGGGTGCGCTCGGCTCTCTGAAGATGGCTTGATTGCTACCACGCCACAGCGGGCTTCAAAAAATACGTTCTCGACGATATTTGCCTAGCTCCGCTAGGCGGAAATTCTTGCTCTCTCGCTATCTCTGCATAGCATCGGCCGAAGAGAACGATAATTGACAACATAAAAAAATAGGTAGGTACTGCAAGACTGCCGGAGTGATTCGTGATTTAGGTGTAATTTTTCCTACGGGCCTCCCTTAGCTCAGTCGGTAAAGGCGCAGCTACAAAGCAAGACCATGCTGGAGGTGGCTGGGTTCGATTCCCGGTTCGGTCTAGGCATTTTTCGAGTTGGAAAATTTCTCGACTTCCCTGGGCATAGAAGTATGATTGGACTTGCCACACAATCATATCAATGCAAAAATGGTACAGGCATCGAAAGCTCTCAATTAATAACTGTGGAAGTGCACCTAGAACACTAAGTTGAGAGCACGCAATAAGCTAATGTGCGATATGCAATAAGCTTGAAATGCGAATAAGAAGAAGAAGAAGAAGTGTAATTTTTCCGTTTTAGTAGAACACCCAACGATAATAATAATAAGTCGATATCCCTTTTAATTCATTGCGCGTGCAGCCCAGCTGCGGTGCTATGTAGATGGAAGAGTGCGCAGCTTAGCTACCTTTTATTCTCTCTCGTTTCGTTCGTTCGTTCGTTCGCAAATCGATAGTCCCTGCCGAAAAATACTGCAACACAGTCCCGGCCCTCTTGGGCAGGATGTAGCTGGAGTACTTCTCCCACGACGTCGAGGCCACCAAGCCGCTGAATGTGGTGCTGCGTGGGCTCCACGAAATGGACACCACCACCTTAATGGACGATATTAAGGCGAACGGCCTCAAGCCGGTCGAAATCCACAAGATGACCCGCAGCAAGGCCATCAAGTATCGTGACCAGCTCTACCTGGTCCATCTGGAGAAGAACTCCACAACCGTGAAGGATCTCCAGACGACACGCACACTGTTCCACATCGTAGTGAAGTGGGAGCGGTATAAGCCGACCCACCGAGGCGTCACTCAGTGCTCGAACTGTCTATTGTTCGGGCACGGCACCAGGAACTGCCGCATGGCCAGCCGCTGCATCAAATGCGGCAAAAACCACAAGATCGACGACTGCGACAGCATCGAGGAAGCCGCTCCAACATGCGCCAACTGCGGCGCCGCCCACAAGGCCACGAGTAAGGCCTGTCCGAAGTGGGCCGAATAAGCCGAGATCCGGAAGAAGGCCTCGTCCAACAACCAGCCCGGTCACAAGGTTTCGGAAAACAACGCGCAGAACTTTCCTCCGTTATCACCGGTCCAACCACGGCCAATTCCAGTGTTTCCGCCGCTCCCGCTCAACCAACAGTTGGCTGCTGCCCAGTCGGCTGCCGCTGCAGTACCCGGTCAAGCCTCCGGGCCATCAACGGATCCCCCTGCTCCGGGATTCGCCGGTACAACCGGCGAAGCTACAGACGATTCTCCGCTGTCAACGAATGAGATCGTCACACTTTTGGCCCAGGCCATCATCATCAAGCGCACCTGCGCTACAAGAACACAACAGCTCCAAACTATCATCTCCTTCGTCGCTAATTATGGGCCGTGAAGTTATCAAGATCTCCAACTGGAACGCTCGCTCCGTAGGGGCGAAAAACATTGAGCTTGCAGACTTCCTCCGCAAGCACGACATCGACGTGGGCCTTCTAACCGAGACCCACCTCAAGACCGGTGACAGCTTCTGGCTGCCCGCTCACAACATTGTCCGGCTTGATCGCACCAGCTCCAGGGGAGCGGTGTCGCGATCATCATCAAGAAAGGCATCAAGTACTGCACCCTACCCCACTACCGCACTTCCATCATCAAGGCCGTCAGCGTAGAGGTGGATACATCGACCGGAAACGTCCGGTTCATCGCCGCCTACTGCCCCCAGCAATGTACCGTTAGCAATGGTACAGCACAGCAGTTCAAGAACGACCTAGCCAACATAACCCGCACCAATGCCCGCAATGGGGACCTGAACGCCCGGCACGAGGCCTGGCGGAACTACCAGCAGAACCAGAACGGCCGCCTACTATTCGACCATTCCCAGCATGGTCTCTATTCCGTCTGGTTTCCGGACGAACCAACCTTCACATCACCGGCGGACAACCCATCGACGCTGGACCTGTTGGCAAACACCGGATTAGCCAAGCCGGTTGCCGTCAACGACCTGAGTTCGGACCACCAACCGGTGCTGACCGAGCTGGGCTGCAACGTGGCCCCTACACCGTGCCTGCGGAAGGACTACCATCGAGTCAACTGGGTCCAGTTTCGGCGCGTGGTCGACCGCCACATCGACG